TTCATGCTATAAACTGACACTTATTTATTTATTTATTTATTCTTGCTATATTGCTAATAAATCTTTTATTATTTTGTATTCCTATTTACATCCGGGTCTTCTGAAGCTTTCCGTCCGTTCCATTACCCTTAGCAATGACACCTTTGTACTGTTTGATGCCTAGCGAGCCTACTTTTGCGATACTCCCCACGTCCCCCGCGGCCAAGTACGAACCCATTCTTGGGGATTTCCCATGAAAAGAGGGCTGTTAAACGTAGCATTTAAAGCTGTAAAGAATACACTCATAATAAACTTCATTTTTTAAACATCTTGACTTCCATAGCTCCACTCCCACTATCAACTGAAATGTCGAAGCATTGCTCGGCTCTGAGTGACCCTTGAGATTACGACCCCCCCCCTCCCCAGCGGCCAAGTACGACCCCCTATGGGTTTCGCACAACGATGCTGTACCTGCTACAATTCGTTCCGGCTGAGCACATCCTGGCAACTACCAGGCTGGAGAGAAAGTATGCACCACTTCAGAGAATCCCCTTGCTCGGCGCCATGAAGGCATAGCTCTACGCAACCAGTAGGTTGGACCCTTGTTTAGGCTCCATTCATTAGTCTCGGTTATCAGTAAAGATATTCGTGTTGAATATTTCATAGATTGTGCCCGCCTCTATGGAACTGTGGAATTCGGATAATCGTCACTGCACAATGGAGGACCTTCGTGGGCAAAACATAATGGGTGGCAACGAACTGGGCTGCACAGTGTGAACCATGCACATAAGCTTCCACTGAACCTCCTAATCGCACTAAGTACGACTGGTGGAGGCGGGCAGGCTGTTGCCTGTGTCACTGGCGGAAGGACTGCGAAATGGCGTTCAGACCACCTCAAACGTTTCTTCCACCAGTGACGATGGCGACAACCGCGCGCCTCAGCATTCGTGGCCACTGTCTTTAACGATCACAGCTGTTCGCAGTGGTAAAAGAAGATGCACATGGGAAAATAGACCGCACTTTTCTGGAATGCTGGAAGGGGGGGGGGGACAATGACGGCTACTATAGTCTACTCTAATTGTAAGTGACTTCAAAAAATGGTCAACTGTGAACTTAGCCCAGAAAGGCCGAAATATCTTCCCACTCTACAACAGTCAGCGACCGTATGTGGCGAAGGCAGCATCTGCGAGAATTTAGCTCTCGGTTGGAATTTGTGACCGTATCTGCTCACCAGCCTTAGCAGCTTCTGACTACCACTTACGTCATCTAGAAAAAGAGATATGGGACAATTGATGTCTCAAATGAAATCGGGGCCCTCTTTCTATCCCAGTCGCCGAAATTTAGGAAGGACAGAACGAGAAGCTGCCCATTAGATGAACACTTGTCCGAGGTGCCAAAGTTCAGCTCAAGTTCAGAGTTCAGTTTCAAACTACCACCCCCCCCCCCCTCCCCCCCCCCCCCTCCCTAAGTGTTGGCAGGGCTTTTTTTGAGCCTCGTATAAATAGTTCATGTTCAGTCCGCCATAAAACGCGATAATGAAGGAATTCCAAAAAGCGTCGGCCCCACTATCTAATCCTCCTCGATTTTGAAGGAGTGCTCGACCGCCTATCGTGGCATGTGCTCGAGAGGACGCTCAAAAACTCAAGGAACTCTCGAACACCTGTTCATCATAGTGAAGGATATACGATGAGACAAGGACACCTTTCTCGGCTTGACTTATGGGTTAGACGGCCGGTATACACCAAGGGTGATTGCTTGAACAAATCGCCTTTCTTAATGGATGCCTCTGCAAAGAAATTCATGCGGAGCCACTCAAGACCATCCTATACGGCGACCAAATCGCGATCGCCCTGATAACGAACACTAAAGAAAAACTCCCAGAAAATGTGCAAAATGCCAAAAGCCTTGGCATAAAGTTGAACTGCGATTGAACGTAAGCAAGACCAAGTTCCTGGGCTCCGAGGAGTCCACCGAACACCATCTCAAACAACCATGGTGGTATTGAAGGGAGATGAGAAGAGGATCGCTGTAGATGGGAAGCGAACATTTCCGCTCAGGGAGCGTGGACCAGGCAACTAAAGCCCCAGTGAAGACGAGCTTGGAGGAGCTGCTAGTGCAAGTTGAGTCTCTACGAGCGTACGCTCACACAAAGCTGTCGTATTATAACGACGTGTTCCCTCAACGCAAAAGTGCACGAGACGGGACTGGAGGATAGTGTACGGCATGCCGTGCCACTTCAACTCGCGACTCCGTAACACTATTGCTCAAGGCCAACCTAGCTCTGTGTCCGAGCCGAATTCCGCAGCGAAGACGCAGTCAGAGGTAGAGAGCAACCAGATGTCAGAGAGCACAGACAAGTAGCAGGCCATGGCTGGCCATGTAGCTCGCAGTACAGCCGGAGCCAGTAAACGGTACCCTGGTCTCACTATCCTCCAGCCCCGATCCAGTTTACTTTTGAGCAGAGAAGGTAATTCGCTGCTGCAGCTGCGGACTCATTCACCCTACACGGCACACAAATTAGGAAAAGTTAAGGGCAGTTCGCCGAAGGGGGGGGGGGGGGCTCTTTGGCAACTTTCACCGCTTCACTACAGTTCTGGTTTTACAAGTCCACTCCTGGCTGAAACCTGTGACATCTTGTGAAGCTGGAGCAAGCTCGTCAACCCATCATGGTAAAACTGTCAACTCGAGAAGAGGCTGTCTAGCTGTGACTCATCTGAGGACAGGAAAGTCGTTGAAGGGCAAAATGCCCGCGTCGCCTAACAGCGCCGCTGGAGTTAGTCGCTACGGTGTCCTACAGTTTGTCCAAAGGTAGAACCACCTAAAGCATACCTCCCCACTACAATCGGTCTGATCTGCTCTCGACTGGATTCAATGGTTACACTCTGATCTCGATCCAACTGAAGGCACAAGAGCAACGACAAGCGCTGGCTAATGGACCATTAATTAAGAAGAGCATTGACTTGTAGCTTTTGAGACCTTGAGCAGCAGCAATAAACCTATTTAATCCAAATCGATAGATTTCATGCATCCAACTGAACGCACATTTCACTGGTTCAAATGCTTTTCGGTTGCTCAGAATGGGTCCCAAAAAGTCATCCCCATCATTCGTGGAAAATGTACACTTCCCTGAAGGGATCGATTCGTTCCACAAGTCTGTTGCGATTCGCGTTGCTCTGTTTGATTAGCCCCTAACCATTGATTCTGACCCCCTCATTATGAATGTCGTGCGGAATAATACTCATTAAGCATGGGCATGGGCTGAATGACGCCAGCCAGTTCCCCGCATCCTGCACTTTCCATAGCAAGTGCAATGGCACGGCAGAAACAACGAGGACGTTAGTTGCTACACAAGAACGCTATGCCATTAAAGAATGGCACAGTTAAGTAATTCTCCAGTCGGAGGGCGTATTTGCCTCACTAAAAACGAGGCCAGCAAATGTTAAGAAGCTTAAAAATAGGAATTTCAATGTTTCCTCTATATTCCCAAAGGAAACTGTTAGACCAGTACCTCATCATAGGAGCGTGTGAATAGCAGTGTGAGGTAGTCAAAACTCTCAGGAGGGTCCAGGAACGAACTTCCACATAAACACCCAGGCACACTCACCTTCTACTCCGAATTCCTCTACCGATCGGGAACCGGAGGGGGGAGGGTAAACACTTGCTTTCAATTGTCAGAACCAGAAACGTGTTAGAGCAGCCCGTGATAATAACAGGTATATGGACTTGGAGAACTCGTCCATAACATGTCATGGCACACCATACAACATGTTCTAACACGCCTATCAGCCCCATAACTTGTCACGTGGCATTTGCTCACAAGTGAGGACTTGTTAAGGTGTGTTCAATCTTTACGGCGGCGTTTTCAGCGTTGTCGTCTGCCTTTGAGTTGAGCGGCTAGAAAACTATAGGTATCGATCCAGCATTTTGGGCGTCATCCAGCGTTTTCAGCGATAATCCATACCTTTACTTTCTTCCTACAACTGACGCGAAGTATGAACGCCAGCAGAGATACCAGTCCCGTGTTACACGTAGAGCGGAAATTTCACCTAAAACGGGAATGATCAGCTATCAAAAAAAACCCTACTAATGGGAAATACGATCCTCCACTCCACCGCAGCAAAATACGACCCCTAACGTGACGTATTTACTTCCTCACATCCCAGGCCTGAAGGAGCTTGTAAATGCCGCATACCTGTAGGCTATACGAAAAGGACGCAGTTTGCCTTGGTGGCACCAAATGGACTCTCAGCATGGGTTGCAAATCCATTCTGTGAAGACATGTGAAAGTCCTGTGATAAAATCCCCTCACTTGCACCATTTCGCAGCTTCCCAAGAGTTTCCAGGTTGCAACCTATAAGTTAATATGCCCTAGCAAGAGGAACTAGCGCAAATGTAAAACGCCCCTCCAAACCGAATAGCGCCGAAAAGTAGCATCAAGAAATGAACGCGTGCTACCTGAATCATTCTTCACACCAGAATACCCCGAGCAAATATCACGTTTTCATCGTCAGCGCATTTGAATGAGGCAAGCAGCTACTTTCACATTTATCAGGAAACTATGCAGCTCCCCCTCCCCCGCCAAGCTGGCCCGTATTTCGCCCTTCTACCATTTTGACCATTTACCTCTTCATTTCTATAGAACTTTTCCTCGAATATGTCACCTCTTCCAGTACAAGTAGGCTTTCAAAGCAACTTTATCAACTTCACTTTACTAAACAACACACTCGCCGGACTTATTGACACAGACACATGGACAAGAGCCCTCAAATCGGCAGCTTGCAGCTGATGCAGTGGGTTGGGTGGGGTGGAGGGACCATGGGTGAGGACGCTACACGTCGTACCAAGAGATCGGCAAAAATTCAACAAAAACAAAGCCGATATCGAACTCTGTCCAGATAGTGTCGCGAGACACGGAATACCAGGAGAACAGAGGTGAACAAACACGAACGAAGAGATTAATTACGTCTTTAAATACGCAAACTATCAAATAGGTAGATGAGAGGAACACTACAAATAACGCTTTAAATATCATAATAACCGCTGAATAGACGAAAATCGCGGATAAAACCGCTCAATGGAGTGGTGGAGAGTAGTGGGACAGATTGGAGGACACCGGCTAAGGATAGCATCCATGGATCGTTGACGCAATGCTTAGCGATGGTCTCTATGGTGTCCACCTTGCTGCTGCTCGATATACTTCCGACCTGCGGCCGATTGGCGCACGCTGAAAAACAATAATTGACTCGGAATTCCTATCCCAATGAATTCGTTAACAGAATCTGCTTTTTTTAAACTTACCAGGCACCATTTATTGGACAGAAAGTCAACAACTTAGTATTAACCGTCATAATAGCACCCACATGTGGGGTGAGACAACCATTTCAACACTAGCAAGTACAAATTTATTTTTACCGATAACATTTTCTAGAAAAAGGTTAACGGCACAATCAGCATATGGGGGAACGCGCTGTGCCCACCAGCTCTCTAGCGGCCCACAATTTTTGATAGGAGAGCAACGCCCAGAGGACAATTCACTTTGAACTATCGTGTTGTTACAAATAATGTATGGTTCATCCATCCGGGAGCCTCAGTTCCCTCAAACGCTAGCCTTTTGCGCTGACGCTAAATTGCGGACTTCCACTGCTTGTAGTGATTTTGAACCAATTTTATGATTTTTCAATTTCAGCAGGATCATTGCAAAACTTTACAACACCCTGAAACGCTTCAATACGTTCGATGATCTCTCCAATCATCTTTTCCTACTTCACCTCACAGTACATTTGAGGAAGCACATTACAAATGCGGACAGAGTGCGGCGAAAAATGAAAACCACCTCCAGCAAGCCGATCGGATAGACGGGGATTGCAGCGAGGTGAACATGCAACGACGCAATCTCCTGTCTTCCATTCGGCAATCTTATTTGGGTGCATAGGTTTTGTGCAATTATCATGCAATACACCTTGACCGGTCGGGGAGCCAAAGATAAGAGAAGAAGCAACACAGACCATGCAGTCTAAAGTACAGTGAAGAAATAGATACTAGCCAGAAATCTTTTGAACAGCCTTCCACCGAATACCCCGACCAAAGTAGCACCACCAGAAACGATTGAGTCTAGGTTACCGAATTCTGCACGGGAGAACTAACGTCGAAGACATGCCTCCCAAGCCAGCCCTATTAATCTAACAGATAACCACGCATTTGAAGCGTACGCTACAAGGAGAGCATCGCGAACAAACTGCTGCCTTTTCTCTAAATATCCTGGAAAAGTGCTGCTCGCCAATCCTTCCAGTGATGGGCCAACTGCTCAATCCCCAACAGTATCCCAATCCCTTTCAATCCGTGATGCTGTTGTATCCCCATTCCTTTTAGCGATAGATTCAGACATTCTCATTACAGAACTAGGCCGTTCTTGACGAGCAAAACACCAGCTGGTGATGTGGCGTCCAAGGACACAAGATGGCCGCCACAACAAGCATCCAATTACCGTGGAAGAACTTCCGAGCTGAGAAGCAATAAAAATCGCTCACTAGGAAATGGCCCCTGCAAACGCTTACTTCCTCTGGCTGTAGGTAACGCAGCCTTGTTGACACAGCCGCGGACAGCATCAAAGGGCTCCCTGGGCACGAAGCCCCATCGTCCATTACGGAAGAGAACCACCCCCATAGAAACTCAAAGCCTGTCTCACTGACCACTGCTGCAGAAGATACTGAGCGGCGTGGATCTGAGCCTGAGTACCAGTGATGGTGATCACGCGCTCTTCCTGGCCTGCTGATGGTTCCAGCGTAATCTGAGCTCCAGACTCGTCGCGAATTCTATTGATTCGATCGCCACCACGTCCGATGATCGTGCCTCCAAGATCCGACGGTATCGTCACCTAAAAACCACCATCAGAACTCATACCTGGTCGTATTCGACCTCAGTGAATTTTGCCATAGAATTAAGAAAAACAGAGATAGTGCTATAGTCATTCCATCTCATGCAATAAGTGCTCAGTGAATAGCAGCTCTATGGATACAGGCCGATGTTGGAGACGCGGACGCTTTGCGTGGATCAGAGTGATGTTACAGGACAGAATCGCAATCCAGGTCTACAGTGAATAGGTTTGTCGTGGCACGCCAGTAGACTCATCAATAGAGCAGTGGGCAGCTCGCTGGCACAATGCGTGATTGGCTATCAGCTAGGCAACCGCAGCCAGGTATTCAATGCCGTCAGTGATACTCAGGTAAAATGGGGCGGGGCCTTCGGGCATTTGATTACGCCGCGTATCGTCCATGATGAGGTGAGTTACGTGGAGCGAAAAGAGTAACGAATCAAATACTGAAACAACATGATGAACACGACACAAAATAGAATGATTGTCGACGCCCTCTCCTCCTGGAGGGACGAGGTCGGCTACTGATTCGATTCGATGGACGATCCATGACGGCTCTCCACAGCCGGTGATGAGAATGGGGCGAAGAGGAGGCGGGATTGAAAATAATGGACCGACATGCTTTCGTATGGAATCGGGACAGTCCACCAGGAGCAACCGGCAAGGTCAGGAAAACAGCCATGGGAACGAGAACACGACCGCAGGAAGGAAAGCCAGTAGGGCTTGAAGCATGGGGGCAGACACAAAGGGACTACTCCAGGAAACTGTTCTTTTAGCCATTTCAAATGACGAAGGTATGCCATTTGGGACACCCCATCCCTCTAGAACAGCCCCAACCCGATTAAGGCCCCTTCAATAAATTTACACAGAATCACTTCAACAGCACAGAAATGCCACTCTTGTTTCTCAGATAATCAGTCTACTATCAAGTTCGTTCATTGACTCCCAGTTAAGAGATGCATCCCATTTAGTTGCTATCTTTTAATTACTATATATATTTCGGCTTCGAGAAGCTCACTTCGGACGCGCGAAAAATCAGCAAATTCAGCCTTCCGCGCCTCTTAGTACGGTTTATGAAGGGAGTTCCGAAACGTCCCCTGAATCTGCCCAGTTCTTCTTCTTCAAAAAGAATCCGCCCAAGCCTCTCCTTGAATAAACCCTCCAATCTCCCACCAAACATTCATCCATACCTTCAAAACCGCAGGAAAATTGGACTGAATTTAAAATCGCTCATTTTCATGCGACACAATAGTGTTTCACGTGCACAAAGGATATCAGTGCGAACACCGGAACTGACAAGGACATTAAGAACATTGGCTCCCATACGGTAACAACCACTTACCAAATTATAACTTGCTCTGCCGTAAGTGAAAAGAACGACCCTAAACCAATACCGCTTCCTTGCGACAGACAGAACCGAGAGCTATCTACATCCTGCGAAGAAACAAGTTCAAAGACGATATCCCATGTCGTCTCCTTGGTCTGCATCACTACGTCAGAGCATGTGCCAAGTCTGCAGGAACGACGAGGCTCTGGACTGTTTCACTCGAGAATGATTCCTACTTCGCCGGATGACTGTTGCCTTGTGCTTGAAAACAGACTACTAATACATCCAAAAACTTACCATTCCGAACCCGTTGAATGACTACCAGCGAAGGAACTGCTCATTCCATACGGGCAAGGAAACGACCGCGCGAGCATGGTACCTTGGGCATCCCTATACCAGCAGTCACAAGTAGTAAGGGCTGTGATCGCGCTGACTTTTTATATTTCCTAGACTTACAATGGCTTGTTTCATGTTACAATGAGAAAGAACCTCACCTGGGTTGTCTGAATTGAGCCTCCGCCTGGGTAACCTCCATAGGACATTCCACCACCGTATGGGGGACCGCCCATTGGTCCACCATATGGACCTACAAAATCAATGTAAACGCTTTCAGAAATGCTCCTGCAACAATATGTGAGATCGTGCACTGGAAGTGCGGATGATTAAATGAAATTACCATCAAAGTCTCTTCCTAGACCACGGTCAAAACGCATGTCGGGTCCTCCAAGACCACCACCACGCATTGGCATCGGTCCGCCCATTCCTGCACGACCACGTGATCCTAAATATAAGATAACGGCCTGCACACCACATTAGATATGAGAGTTCTGACACATACCGAATGGACTAAGTGGTGGCCCACCACGGCCTCCACCCGCGTATGAAGGCGAGAAACCTCCATAGTCGGGCGCCAGTACGGGATCATAGTTGAAGGAGGTGTAAGGGTTAACGGGGCCCTGTAATTTTTTTTTCATCTCTTCTAAATTCATTGCTTCCTACTTCCACGCACCTTGATCGGGATCTGCTTAAGCTCTTCAATAACTTGTTCCACGGCATCGATAACATTACGTTCATCACCCGAGATCATGGCAATTCGATCTGTGGACTGAGGACAGCACTGCTGGAACACCTGGAACAAGGGCAGCATTCAATACATCTTCAAATTACCAATTCAGCTGCGGACACATCTGCTTACTTTGATTCTGGCATTGGTCCTGTCACGTAACTCCTTGATCTTCTGTCCCTGTCTGCCAATGAGAGCACCAGCATGCGATTGGTGCACCAACAGACGGAGCGTGAACTTGTCGCGATCATTTTGAGTCTGCAAGGAGAAGGTCACTCAGTCAGTCGTAGGTGGGTGCTCATGGCAAAGTAAACAGCACTAACATCCTCAATACGTGGAAGTATATCCTCGACGATACGAACAATCTGGTTGGATGCGCAGACCATTGTCAACACACTTGAAAAAAAAATCGATTAGAAACAACGAAGTACTCAATCGAAAAATTTCTTTAAATATTTTATTTATTATTTGTGAAAGGCAAGGGGTTTTGGTTATGAACAACAAAACGAAGCCTTTCTTTCTTTTAGCGCGGAGTTAGGAATCGAATGGGAAATCCATGACCGATGAACTGCACCCTTCTTTCCGGCATGAGTGCTGGGTAGTTAGATGCGGCGCTCTACTGCAATAGTTTGGTGATTACTACGGCAAGCACAATCTAACACTAAAACCTGAGCATCCTTTCAGTGCCCTTCCTCTCGTTATTTCTTGCGTAGGAATCAGGTAGGACAAGGGGTGAGGAGGCTATTTATCTAGGCTTGGACAGCTCCAGTGTGTGATTCAGTTCGAACTCGTTCCATGCACCGGAAAAAGCGCTAAGCCATCCCAACCATTTACAAGGAGTAATTGCTTGGTGATCAGCGTCAAAAACCGCACCTAACTACACCAGCTTCTCGGCATTTCTCAAACTAAATGTGACGCTTTTTCGGCTTGCGATATCAAACGTTTCCAAAAAAGGACTGCAATCTGCTGATCACTGTTCCAAAAGCGAAGTGTCAAAACAATTGAATTTTTTCCAAAATGGGACAGGGGAACACCCCACCAGCCATGCATTTCATCTGAACTCCGTGCTTTCTTTTTAGACTGTCGTAGAACTGGTCCACAACACTACGCCCCTTCATCTCCTGGTTTACTGCGAAATGTGAAAGCATCCAATGAAGAGGAAAATTCGGATGAGTTAAACTAAACCAAAAGGAGTTAATTCGTGAACACTGATGATGACCATATCTAACAGTAAGGTCGTGGACCAGTTCTCGCACATTGTTATTATAGGGAAAAAGGTGGAATAAACTTAGGGCCCGGGTGGGTCATTCTGGTGACGGAGATGGAGAATCCGACGGCTGGCGCGCGGTCTCTTCTCCCCGCATGACCACACAATCACATTTCACATATTCTTAGGCACAACATATGGCAATGAATGGGACGGGTAGTGTAGGGAATTACCGTTCGGGAGAGTTGGAATCGGGAACTGAGATCTGGCCTTCGAACTGAAAACGAGGACGGTTAGCGGATACATAAGGCGCTAAAAGCGCAGTCAAATCTGTACAACACGCCACAAACGAACAGTAAAGTCGTCAAATACTAGACAACTACTCTCATCTTACCTAAACAACATCTCACCTAAAGTCAAAACCCACTGTTCCTAAAGTACCCTTTACCTCCACTAATACCCTTACCATTAAAATCGCTAACACCTTCACTCCGTATAGGTACGAAACCCCTGCTTACCCCTCATCCAATGGTTACTACCTATCGATGAGTCTACACACGAAGGAACCTTGACCTTGTCCGATCTTCTATGTGATAACGATGCTCGGTTAGCTCTACGTAAGATCGAGCATTTCTCCGTGAATATTGAAACCCTCCCATGAATGTGTATTTTTAGCCGAACCGCAATTGGTTCTTCACAGACACCATTCATCCGCACACATCATTCGATGTACTTCTTTAACCTTTCTATACCAATGACGCGCAAAACTGTTTGCATAGGTCTTCTGGCAAAACATCTTTCGAACTGATTCAAAATTGGTCACGGCGCCTAGCTGGACGACGAGCACTGTGTGCCAGTGCACTGATCACTAATGTGGAAATTTAGGTGCGTTCATACCCCCCCCCCCACTTGACGCTGCTTCGATAGCGCAATCACAGCGGTTAGGTCGCTCGCGCGACTGGAGCGGCCCCAAATCTCATTTACTAATCAGTGTACCTGGCCCACAGTCCTTGTTTTCCCCCTAGGCGCCTGCGCAGACAATTTTAGATCAGCTCTAAACCCTCCGTTATTAGAACCTCCGTTATTAGAACAGATCTAAGACCTAGAGCTGCGCAGAGCACTTTAAGCTGACTGCACGTGATTCTCATGCCCTATTGCTAAATTCCACAGCAACGGTGCTCTGAAAGAGTGCTGGTGAAAAGGGATGTTGAATCTTTCGTATACCCCAGGACGCGTTCACTGCTTTCGATTACGTCGCCGTGATTGGCGTTTTCGGTGACTATGCTGCGTATGAACGTAGCCTTATCATTCTGAATCACAAGTGGTGACTCACCTCTGCTGTTAGCTAGACCATTAATGATGGCTCAAGCGCCTTTTTAGGTACCGCAAACAAGGTTCAGGATCGTAGTGCGAAACACATGGGGAGGGGGTGGATCGTAATTGGCCGCTGGAAGGATAGGGGGTCATATTTTTGCGGTTGTTTGGGAGAGGGTATGGGGCCGTACGTGCCCTCGAAAGAAATTTGAATCCGCGTTGAGAAAAAGTTTTCCCGGTTGCTGACTTTTTGAGGTTTTCCCCTTTCACATGTGCTATTTGCCCACGCCCCCCTTCCTTGAGGGAGGGGGAATCGTATTGACACCACCATGTTACACATCACGATGCTGTAGCCTGACACTCTCGTCGATGTGCAAAATCTCCGCTCTGAATCTTCGTAAAGTTATGTCGTTTTCAGTGGTCATTAACCGACTAATTGCTATCCCATTGTCACATCAATACGCTAAACCGTGCACTTCACCCTTATCGTGCTCTCGACGTTCTGTGTGCTGACGAGGTGTGAGCGACTTTTTTTGAGAGTTCTCGCAGAAAAACTCGACCCTATATCATGCAGTCTTCCCCTGCCTGCATCGATCGAGCGAAGCACCCCCTCCCCTTCATTGTGCAACCGCTGCACAGACTTGACCATACGTGTCATCCGATCGAAGCAGGCCCAGGTTCCTCGTGTTAAGACCTCCTACTATGTCCTAGTCCTACCCCAAAAGTCAATAAAACATACCTGAGTGCGGAGACGTTTGATGTTTTCACCACCTTTACCAATAATTGCTCCTGCGCATTTGCTGCTCACAAGAATACGAAGTTCAAATTTACCCTGAGCCAATGCTTCAGAGAAGCTAAAATACATTTTGATGATTGTTCGTAATGAAAACTTCTAAAAGCTGCCGTCACATACCCATCAGCTCTTTGACGCTTGGAGTTACGCGAGCCGCCGAATCTGTCGTCGTCCGTGTGTTCACGCTTCATAACTGAAAGGAACTGATGAGATTCTCCAATGCCGAAATATTTACGTGCATGCGAAACGACACTATGAAATCATATCCAAACATGAGGGGAGTGGAGAATAGAGTGGTCTTCCAGCATCTAACTGATTCCATTTCTGCTCCTCTCCTATCAAGAATAGACACAGTTGATGGGTCATGGTAAGATAAAGATGAATGTCAATGAATGATTCGTGGTGACGGATTGGGGGTGTATTCTGGGAAGGAACTTCTCAAATTCAGCGCAGAGATAGAGAGGAGAATACGATGCGAAGGTCACCCACCGTACGTACTACCAGCGCGCACTTTTCAGCCCCGCGCTAAAGGCCGTGAGAAAGAGGTCATTCCCGCCCAGAAGTGCAACGATAAATCAACTCCCTCTCAAGAACTGGAATCACTTTGATGTGAAGTTTTGCTTAAATCGAGAGGGAATGAGCGCCGGGGCAGATGAACCAATTTGTTTCATGCAAAAAGGGCCCCGCATTTTGGGAATACCCGGTTCTGTGCAAGGGGGCCCCTTTGAATGCCACACCTCCCGGAATACTCATTTCAGGGAAAATGCTGTGACAACATTGCTCAATGCTGTGTTCTAAAGAATGAGCTGGTAGTCATAGAGAACGGCCGAGCGACCGATGACAAATGCGAGCGAAGAAGGCTGAGAGGGGAGAAAAACAACGATCGATGACTGCCGTGCAGCGCCGACCTTGGCAGAGTGGCGGCCCCTGCGCACATGCCTCCGAAAATCGATAGCGATTAGCACGGCCGGCCCTGCTGCTCCTCTCCCTCGCTCCCCGCGACACCGTAACCCATCCACGCCGACCTGCGAGGCACAACTGAGCGGGGAACCTTGGACAGCTCATAGGTAACCACCACCCTGTAGAAAGCCGATCTCAAGATGTAACCGTAGTTTCTGCGCTGTCGACGCTTTCTCGCCAAGGGAACATACACCGGTACTACTGCACCGCTCAGCCCTCACCCTTTCCCTTGAATATATGCAACTTTCCTACCACCCCAACATAAAATGTTTCAGGCACCAACCGGGTAAAAGGACTATTTATAGGATTTTATGCAAAAGTGAGATTCCCGCAATGAAGATTACGGTTAGTTGGGAAAGAGCTTCGGTAATGGATGGGTGAACCATCTCCATGCGCAAAACAGTTTCACATCTAAGCACCTAAGTTCTGCGCGAGGACTCCCTCAGCTGCCCTTTCCTTGGCTGGATTGACCCTATTTCGTTCACATATTGATAGTGAGTTGAAAATTGCGGAGAAGGTGGATGAAAGCGGGACAAAGGACCGGGTAGGGATAGAGAAAAAGAGGCGATCGATGACCGCTCGGCAACGCCGACGTTTGCAGAGTGGCGGCCGCCGCCGCCTTGCCACACACGACGCCATCGAAGATCGATGACGCCACGTTTCGCTGCGTACCTCAGACTTCCCGCGCTACCGTATTCCACATAATGTAAACGACACCCAAAAGACCACGATGACGCAAACTAGACGGGCAAAATTGACTGGAAATCCCTCCCCCTCAGTCACGAAAGTTCTGTACCACTCAAAGCGGCTAGAATACACTTTCTGAACAATGTTACCCTTCCGTAGTTCTATGTCCGCTTAAGTTCTGAAAAAGTGTGGCGTAGAACAACAAGTCTTCCCCGAAGAAAAAACAGACCTATCATCATTAATGGCCGAAAATGTTTAGCTACTGGGAAAAATGGAATGGTAACAAACGTTACTGTGGCAACAGATTCACAGAGGAATTTGAAATAGGGCAATTAAGCCAACCACAATTTGCATAGAGTCGATGGAAAAAAAGGAAAGGGCACTGTTCGTCGGAAAAAAAGGAATTCTATGAAACGTTTCCTGAATTTGTGTCAAGGAGATCGGGATTTCACCTGAGCCCAAGAGAAGAACGCAAAAGAGGTGCTCGATTATCGCGGAAAGTGGCCGTTTCCCCGAGGTCATATCCGTTTCTTCGCCTCGTCCCCGTCTTCCCAGACCTATTGTGCCTATTTCCTAACTTCGGTTTTACAAACAACGATCTTTGTCCTTATGAAATTCTCGGCTTTATGAAGTTTCGCAGCACCTTACAAAATGTCCGATATATTGACGGAAGTAACGAAACGCCTCAGTCTGCTACGCGTGGGGCCTAAAACGACCCCGGCATTTTCCATTGGTGCCGAAAATGTTAGGGATCAAAAGGCGCAATCGCTTGGTAGGGCTACTTAACTTTACTCCGCTACGCTGCATAAGCTATACATTCTTATAAGCAAAAAGGCTCACTTGCAGAGTTTTGCAGCTTCGCAGGACTTCACCTGTTATTTAACGTGAGCTATGAAAACGAACTTGCGAAAGTGCAAAATGCCCCTCCAAGCCGAATAGCGCCGACTAAGAGATACGAATACAATGTTTGAATGGAAAACCTTACCTTATAAGGAGTGCAGCGAGTGTGTCCCGAGAAACCTGAAACGACAATTCCGTTTAAGTAACTACTTTGCATTAATGAAATTAAACAATACATATCAGAGAAAGACTGGAAGTAAGGCCAAAAGATTCAGAGCCCAAAAAGAGACAAAGGGAAAAGTTAGTGCACAATATCTAATAAACAAGAAAATCGTTTTTTGCGGTTACGGGGCTGTTGTCAACCAGACGTGCTCTCGCTGCGAGGGACCAAGGGTATTTTTTCGGGCATCTACTAGCCCAGTAGTTGAAGGGAGAAGGTAAAGGAAGAGGGAACAGAGAAGGAAGGAAATAAAGGAAGGAAGGAGGAAGAAATAAAGAGAAGGGAGGCTCCGCGGTTGACAAGCGCCCTGAGGCGAGAGCATGCTACGAGAGATTAGTAGGGTATTTCGCAAGGGCAAGCGCCTCAGCGAGATGCGAGGACCGCGGACCATTGATGAGCGTGTCGGGTCACGCATCCTCTGAATGGCGGGTAGGCCATACTGGCCATTTTCTCCTTACGGAGCTGTTGCTCGTTACAACACAGTAACAGAAGCAAAACGTAACTTTTGACGAAGTTTCGGTGTCAAAACAACTCTTGAGTCCCTCAAATAATTTTAGGTAGAACGGCGTGAAAGTGGGAATGGCGTTCGCGATGGATACGGTAGGTGGTATTCCCGCGCGATTCAAATTTTGATGAGGAAGTTCCTGATTTAAAGGGCATTCCAAATGCTCGAACTCATGCCACTAAACTTATGCTTCCGTCTAAGGGCACGTGCGAAATGGAAACTGAACTACTTCTGTGAATTACCCTACTAGGTTTAATTGAAAAATAACCTGCCATTAGAAATAAAGCCATTGGAAATGGGACAGGGAACTATGGTACATCAAAATTCTATCGTCACTTTATAAACTTCTGCGAGACCTTCCGCTACTACAATAGTGGAGACAAATAAAAGATAAGAGCT